AGAAAGAGGTGTCTGCAGCTGATAAACATGCAGTGATTGACAGGAGTGGGGTTCGTGTTTTATTAATGCATCAGTCTAAATCTCCTGACCTTATGAGGATGGAGAGTTTGGCAGGACAGAAGAGTTTGTAATTTGTTCCTTAATTCTGAAATGAATGCACCTCTCCTGGTTCTATAGAGAGCAACCGATGCCAGTCTTTAACTGCTGCCTATCACACAACGTGCTTAATTGGAGTAGAGAACAAATGAGGGATTACCAGCTATTACTGATCCAATAAAAAAGCACAAGCTCACCTCCTCTTTGGTTCTGGAGGTACTGTGGAGGAGCTGCAGCTCTCAAGCCCCTCACCTGTATCTTGTGTATCTCTTCGATTGCCCTTTGGCACTGCAGAGTTCGTCTGTGAGCGTGGCTTTAGAGACTGAAGGTTCTGCTCAGGTGAAATATTTATCGATCTGGCTTCTTGAATAAGCAATACATTGCAGCAAGGGTTTGATACGAACATCCCTCATGTATAACCATCATACTACAGATTGCAATAATGCCTTCAATCCACAGATCTCATACATTCACATCCCGCAGAGATCGCCGTATCAGAAGCAGAACACAATTTGCCAGGCAAGTCACAGCTCATATCTGTATTACTGTATGATGTATGGCACATCTGATGCAAATGCAGCTGGAGTGCCATGGAGAAGCTTGTTTTGCAACACAAACAAAGAGAATTAGACTAGCAGACCTGCTATTCAAAAGATAGATATCTCCTTTGGATTTACACTCTTTGCCCTGCTGTTTATTTTGCTGTCTCACTCAGCGAGCTGCTGTGCAAGCTCTAAGCTTTCTTTGCCTCCAGAAAGGCTGAAGCATAAAATGGAATTACAAGTATCAACAATTGCAGACTCTGCCATGTAGGCATGCGGAGCCATCTCCCAAACGGGCGACCAAAGAAGGGCAGGGACAGCAGACAAGCAATGGGCCTATTGAAGTCAGTGGGATTTTTACCACTGCCTTCAGTGGGTTTCAGATTTGGCTTGATGAAAGCAAGCACTGTGAATGAAATTTCAGACACCCCATGGCTACAGATGCACTTACTTTTAAAAGCATTAATCGTGCATCTAAATTTAGAGTGCCGCACTTTTGTTTCATTAAGAATTCCGCTTTGGTTCCAGATAGACTCCCTTGAATCTGTCCCCAAAACAGACCCACATTCCATTCTGCACAGCAGAGCAAGATCTTTTATTTTTAAAGCAGCCTCATCTAACCTGCAGCTGCTCAGAACATGGTGTCTCTTCTGCATTCATTCTCATTCGTGGAGTTTGAACCTCTGCTACGCACAGTATGTCATGTGGCAAATGTTGCTCAGCTGAAATCACTAAAGAGAGCTGATTTCAGCCTAAAGCAGAATAATGAAGCCTTCTATGGATGTCTGCATGGAAGAAAAACAACCCACATACTAGTTTGCAAACATTACTCATATTTGAATTTCCCTTCTCTGTCATCTCTGAGCAAGCAGCTAGATGCATTCACAAGGCTCTTCCAGATGGGGAAGTGGTAGACAGAGCTCAGCCTTCAATGGCCTTCAATAAAACAGCTCTGCTGAAAATGCACATCTGGCATTTGAATCCTGAGCCACCTCACCCCTTCCTGTGGCTGTGAGCATCCAACTCCCAGGACTTGTGGTGATTTCAGGAGTCATTTTGATGGCTCATGTGCTACATGAAAGCCAGCAGAAACCTCTGGGAGGATGAGTTCAGGCATTAGAAAAACAGATACGAGTGTCAAAGCAAGGACCCTTGGGATGGCTGTGAGGAAATGTGGGCACCAGTGCAGACCTTCCTCCTCTCATGCCTCAGTTTCCCCTTTTCTATGAAATGGGGCATCTCCCTCTTGCCACTTCTGTGACTTCACCCATACTGATAAATATTAACGGTGGTAAGGGAAGCATTAATTAAGGGATCCTGGTGTATCTGGGCTGCGGCAATAAGCCTTCCTGATGCTCTGCCTTGGTATTTTCTCATGGCCAATCACACCTCCAGCAGCTCACCAGCTTTTCCCTGAAGGACTGCCATCTTCTGTTTCTTCCCTGGGGGGCCGTGCAGGAGAGGAGAGCTATGATTTAACAGCAGAGCAAAACATTCAAAGCCCCACAGACACATGGAGATTAAATGCTTCCCCCACTTGGATTCCCCAGCCTCAGCATGCTGTTTCTGGAACACAATTGTGTCTGGAAAGAACCTATCTGGGTATTATACAGCACAGGGCATACTTTTGAGTCCTTTTTCTTCCTATTATCCTCCTTTTCAAGGTCTTTCTCTCTTTGATTTATGGATCTGGAGACCAGCTTTAATTATATCCCTCAAACAGCTGCCTGAAGCGACGCTCACCAGGAGTGAGACAGATGCAGTGTGCAGCCCCCCTGGGTTCTGCATAGCAACATGCTGCATGGAGTGACCATTAATACACAGTGTGAAGGGCACAGTTCCTGTTGCCATGCTGTTTGGGTATGAATGTGTTCAGATCTGCTTGTGCACACACACAGACTCCGTCATGCACACACACTTGCACATATTTTCTCTCTGCTCCACAGTCAGTACACCAGAGTGACTCTTGCAAGGGGCACATTAGGCTCAGAATATTCCACTGAGGGAAATTATTCTGGATGTAATGCCTGAAAACATTTGCAGTGCTGGCAAATAAGGGCTCACTTATTTCCTTTAACATTTCTACTCAAAGATGAGTGGTGATGATGCAAATCTGCCACAATGCAGACAGGTCTGCCCACATTCACACTTGGTTCAGTTCTGCATGCACCCTGGAGTTCAGTTTGGGGCTGAACACCGATGTTTTGTAAGGCTCTGCCCAAACTACAGTCAGAAGTGGGATTGCCTGTTGCTGTGTGAGGTCCTGGAAGAGACTGCCAACAGTCTGGGCTCACATGTTGCAGCATATTCCATCTCTCTGGAGGTGCTGGAGGTGCAAATCTCCAATCAGCCCACCCTAAAACAGTGCTGTAGCCTCAGTGAGAATGTAACCTGTTGCTGAAGTACTGATATGCTACATTTCCATCACCATCCTGATGCATACATGTACTGGAATGCAGTCTAAGAGCTGGTTCTCTAGGGATCATCTTCCATCACGCATGATAGGATATAAAATTGGAGCTTCTACATTTTCCATCTCTGAGTAACTCCTATTTCAGCTCCCTTATATAATTTCATATGAAAGAAGCTTGCAGTAGCTTTCCCTTGCAAGTAGGAAGATTGTTGTCAAAGCCTCGGGAAACCCCTTTAATGTGGGATGGGCAACTGGGAGAGATGGTAATGAGATGCTGGGAGAACTTCAATCACCAGCGAGGGAGATGAGCACTTCTGAAGCTGACAGAGCACAGTGTTGGAAGGACTACCGTGCTGCCAGCTGTACAATGACAGCCCAAAGGGCTAAGGAAATGGCTGACTAAAGGCTTGCAGATACCCCAGACCTCCCTGCTTTAGGGACACAGCTCTGAAGGAAGCTCTGAGCTTGCAAATTTCTGGAAACATTTTTGTGATTAACAACTGAAGGAGCAAGAACTCATCCCACTGGCAGACCATATTCTCATGACTGATGCTGGCATGCTGCAGGATTCCACACAGCAACAGCCTAATTAAATTGTAAATCAGCTGGGATGGGAAATCTGTCTTTCCCTTCTTGCGTGGCTCAGAATAGAAAGGGATTTCAGTTCTGAGTGTAGCGTGCTGCTATCCCAGTTATAAATACAACCCTTGCAACTCAGTAGTAAAATGGCTTTCTACTGAACCATGTTAAGTTCTTCAATTTAAGTAGAAGAATTAAAGAGCTAAATCTGAACTCTGCAGGCAAAGATTGTTTCCAGGCCCTGCTTATTAACATTCAGCTTCACCTGCTTCACGTTGCCAATCCAGACCACCTCTGCGGCCGTTACTAAAAGAGCTTTGATGGAAATGCTGTTTCAGGGCTCTGTTCTGAGCTCTTTCTCAGCTGCAGATGAGTAAAGGCAGCCCATAGCTGCCCCCCTCACCCCTCCCCACACATCACCCACTGTAGCTGAAGAACAGATGCATTAGCCACTTCCTGATACTTAACCTGCCCTTTCCCATCCTTCATCTGGCTCATAAATACCCCTACTGCTATTTCTTGCTGGGGTCAATGCATACAGTAAAGCATTCTGGAGTCAGTCTGGCCCAGCCCTAATGGTGTGGGCTTGTCTCAGGAATTCTTTTACTGTTATGCAGTGGTAAATGGCTTGCTCACCTTCTCCTAGTGTCTGCCTAGCCAAGAAACATTCTCAAGGAGTGCCTACCTGTGTAGCTCCTATAGCAGTACAGATCCTAAAGGCAGTCGCCAAGCCAACATCCTGTATGGCACAGCTCTGCTGGAGTCACACAAGTTGGGATCACAGATCAGCATCTTTTGCTGCGCAAAGTGCAAAGACACAGCTGAGCTCTGAGCTGGGCTAAATCCTGAAAGTGTGGCTGGAAATCAGAAATACAGATTGTGTGTCAGACAAATTTTTTTTTCTTTTCTTAACCAAAGTACTGCTGGCAACTCAGCAGCACCACTGGGAACATTGCCTGCTGCAAGCGTGGGCACTGGTGAGGATAACAAAAAAATTACATCCCTCTGGCTTGCTACTCAACAGAATTGGAGGATAGTCTCCAGCTTCTCATAGAAAGTCCTATTTTATCCTTTTGTTCTTTTTTAATGAAACCATTTCTTCTTGAAAGAGAATTGTTTTGGTTTTTTCCTGAGTGGACATTTTCACAAAAGAACAATTTCCAGGTTTTCATTACATGTTTGAACCAGGTCTTAATAGTGAAACACGTTTATTTCTTTCCATGGCATCCCACAAAAGGAAGAAATAGGGGGAAAAAAAAAAAAAAGAAAAAAAAAAAACTGAATTTTTGTGGACAAACAGAAAATACATAAAAGCTCGCTTGTTTTTAGGATCCCAGGATCTAAAGGGCTGCTTTTGTAACTCCTCAGAGTAGCTAACAATTAATTGTGGTGGATTTCAGCTGTGGCCCCCAGTAACAGGGCTGACCATTCAGGTGCAGACAGGAGCAAGGCACTCTGGGGCTCCTACCCCCTCCCAGAGGCTCAGGAGGGCTCATTAAGTTGGTGATTGCTGCCGAGGGAGTTGGACGTTGTTCTGCCATGGGTTTGGTTTTGTTGGAGCTCTGCTGCAGTGAAATTTCCTGTTGCACACGGTGTGATCCTCCTGGTCTGCTCTGAGCTCTCTGTGTTCTTGTGAAGGGTTCAGAGCCTTCAGCCTCTTTGAGGAAAAGAAACAACAGCCATGGAGGAGATGGGAGGTAAGGAGATATGGGCAGGGTAAGCATGCTGACCTTGTAATGTTTTCTGAGGTTTGGATCCTCTGAGCTATAGCTGTGTGGTCTGAGGGTGCCAGGCAGGATTTGCCCTGTATTGTGGAGTAGGGGAGCTGTAGGTTATGAACCTGTTGTGGTTCCTTAAGATTGTTTGCTATGTTTTAGAGTCATGCTGCCTTTTCTTAGGAGGTGTGATGCTTATGTTAGCAGCCAGCAGCGATTGATGCAAGTTGTGTCAGTGCTGACAGCTGCCTTGTTAAGTGATCCCACTTTGTACACTAAAATGTGGTCCATGGAAGTGTGAAAGAGTTCTGCTCTGCTCCACAGCTATGGTTCTTGGAATAACACTGACCTGCCAGTAAAAGCCCTCCTGCCCAAACCCCTCCTTTCATAGGCTGTGTGCTTTTTGGTGTGCCTCAGTCACAGTGTGCATGTGTGTAGCTTAGCATGTCTTACAGTTCAGTATTTCCAAGTAATTCACATGGCTGCCTGGTGTCAGAATCCCCACTTGTAAAGACAAAGAAACTGAAGCACAGAGCAGAAAGATTATGATTAAAATCTCCAAACGTGCCTGTAGGGAAACTCGCAGTGCAATATTCCCTACTGTGAGTCCTGTCCTTTCCCTGCAAACCTCTCTGATCTCATCATCTGCTGATCAGGCTGTAACAGCACCCCCAGAAAAAGTAGGAATACACAAAAAAATTGCTATTTCTTTGGCTCTTCAGGTGCTGCAGAAACAATCACGTGGCTGGCCTAACGAGCTAATGAGATATCCCCTACACCTGCTCACAGCCCTGCATTGGACACACCTGGCCTTGCCATATGCTTCCTTCTTGCAATTTGGTGCAGTAAAATGTCTTTGGGTGCCTTTTCTGCTCTGTCTTGTGTGTTCAGGAAGCACCAAGCACCTCTCTTGAAAGCAGCAGCTCTCAGTATCCCCACAAGCAGGCAATACAACCTCCCTTTCCAGTCCTTTGATCTTCCACAAAGAGTTAAGAGCAGTCAGCTCTGCCACGAGGTTGTGCTTTATGAAATTATTTCAGGTTGATCACAGTGCGTTATGAAGGGTTTCTAGTCATTAATGGGAAGCGAGTTCCTACTGTATGAAGATTAATTTGCTGCCTCAGCCATCTATTGAGTGAGTAAGACAGGTGAAGATGCAGGCAGTCCAGCTATTAGCATGTTTATCAGGATAAATAGGATGCTGGAAGGATGCCTACATTGTGGAGGCTTCTGTACAATGCACTCAAGCAGGATTTAGGAATACAAAGTGATCGGCCAGGAGCAAGGCTGAGTAACTGGGTCTTAAAACCAGGTCTGGTTCGAGGTGTGTTGACAGTGCTGCTCTAAAGGAGAGGAAGCACACTATTTTGGAAGCTAATGACAGCTTAAAGGCAAATCCTACTTGAGGATGTACTGTGTGGGCACAGCAGGCAGCTCTGGGTGTGGGTTGGAACTGGTGGGCATCACTTCATTGCCTGACAGATGCAGTTGATGTGGGGTTGGTGGCTGCTGGGGAGCTGTGGTGTCCTTTCTGGGTGAGTTAGACAATGTTTTCTGTGCACCTCCACAGTTAAGGTTTTATGGAAGCCTGGTTCTGTTTAACATAGCTGTAGTTGAGTTATAAATTAATAATCCCTGCTGCTGGGACTGCTGTGTAGCAAGATGGCTTTCGTGAATGTATGCGTAAATAATTCACGCTATTAAATTAGTTGTGTTCCCTGTCCACGGCTCATTTATCTGCTGTGACTACAAATATTCCTCTCTGCAGTTAGAAGGTGTCAGAATGTGCCAAGTGAGAGGTCTGTGCCTCTCGGAAGGAGCCTTTGCCCCCCACTAAAAGGGTCAGGAAGTTCTTTTGACAAAGTGCTTCATAAAAGTCTGCCTTATTGAACGTGATGCTCTTCAATGGACCAAAATCCATCTTGGGTTTTCAGCTTGTGGGATGATTGAGGCTCTGTGGGTGGGTTTCCTTGCAAACTACAGCTCTGGGTCTTTTCCAGGCCCTCTTTTAAGGGCTGTGCCTCTTTCCCCAAAGATAAGTATTCTTCCTGTTTCACATGTGAATTCTGTGTGTTTCCCACCTTACTGTTTTTATCAGTATTCTCTCTGTGCTTCTTTGGGAAGCAGTAATTGCTGAAATAGACAAGAGTCCTCTTCAGCCTCAGGTCTGAGGGAGCAATGTCGGCATCAGTGCTGTGTGCACAGAGCACACTGAGAAAGTAAAATGGGCACAGAGGAAAGCAGGAGGGGAAAAAAAAACCAAACCAACAGGAACCCAAAGGTTGTTATTTTATTGCATAGCCTCTAAAATGATTGCTTCTTTCTGGCACAACCTGATGTTCCAAAGAGCTCTGATGCTGTATTACTTCTGTGTTAGCAAATGATCTTGGACAAGTTGGTGTTGGTTTTCTTAGTCTAATGCTGTCAATTGTTATTTGTTTTGCCCCAGCTTTGCTGCTGCTCCAGTCCTCATGTAATGCTCAGAGAACAACCTCAGAGATCCCTGAGAAGGCTGAGCTCTGATATCTTCCGTCTTCTGCTGCCACACCAGAAATGTGAGCATCTAACTGTAAGTAAGATAAATATGCTTTCATGCTGTGTACATAACCCTTGAGTTTCTTTGATTGCCAACTTATCGTTATGTATGATCTGGATGACTTTTGTTTCTGCTGTGTGTATAAATATTGATGAGAAATCCAAAGCCTTTTTTTTTCCTGTAGAAAATCACTACTTTTATGTCAGACACAAATAGATGTGGGGGAGATGATGTTCCTTAAGCCTCTGCTTTGGTGTATTTAGGAGACGTATCAAGCACAGAGAACTCTGTGTCTGAATACCAAGTACAGTTAGTTTGGGGCCAATTTGTTCACTGGAAAAGCTCCTGGAGAAACATTTCAGCATATTGGAAAGCACTAATAGGAGATTTAAGGGGTTTTGCTGCGATGTTTATAGGTACTTGTGACAAATGTTTTTGGTGGAAGGAAAAGAAGGCAGGATGTCACATTGTTGCATGGGCTGAAGGAACTCTGTAACTCTGAAATAACTTTGCATTTTGGAACTTAGTTTTTTGGGAGGTCTGATGGGCGTTTCTTGGTTAGAAGAAGTTTCTGTTACCCTGAGAAAAGCATGCTGAAATATTGAAGGGACGGATTGTGTTGTGATTCTAAATTGCTCACCTATCTAGCCCTGGTTTTCCCAGCAGGTAATGCTTGCTCTGGTTGAGCTTCGTACTGGGATTTTCAGATGGTACTTAACAAATGCTTGGTCTGCTTTGTAAATGATCCTGGAAATGGAGAGCAGTGGCTGCTCCAGGATGCAAGGCTGTGCTGGTTTGATGTGCTTTGTCCCACTTGGTCACTGGGAGGCGGGGACAGGAGGAGGCACACGGATGGGTGGATGTGAGTGCTCACAGGCAAGAAATGGCTTCTGATGCATCCTTTTAGAGATGCTGCAAAGAAGCAAAGGACCAGTTTACTGAGACACCACAGACAGGCATGAGTAATTCTGAAATACCCAATCCCTCCTCTTTGTGTTTCTCGGGTTTTGATGCTGCGTTCTGGGAGGCTTCCTCCAGCTGTAGCTCTGTGCAGTGCTGTTTCCACAAAACATAAAGCATTCCCTGTTTTTGTAACCTATTTATATGATTAGATTAACACTGAATTTTACTGAGCATGTCAGCGTTGGAGATGCACCATAAGAGAGAAATATAATCTAATAGGAAGGAATACACCACTCTGGAGCAGTCAAACCACATTTTTGATCTCACAGCTTGAAACAAATGAACTGATGCACTGTGGAAGGAAATTTACACACTCTTCTCTTTCACTCTTCTGCCCCTCAAAAGAAAAAGCTGAAATTCTTCCCACAGCTCCAACCTGAAACGTTATGGCAGTATTCAAATCTCATACCCAGCGTGCATCCTTTGCAAAGATTAAGAGCAATAGCAAAGTTAAAGGTGGTGGAAATAGATGGATGATATGGTGGGGCGATGAGGAGGGGGAGATCACCTGGGATTGGGATGCATGTAACTCTAAAATATATTGATCAGATGTTTGAATGTGCCTTGGTGTCCTCAGGGCTGTGGGAGTTCCCAGACTGTTTGCCTTGAAATGAAAGCAATTTAATCTTTAAAAATAATAATGAAAGAGCAAGCTGTAAATGAGACCTTCTGGCAGACTGACGGGGCTGCTTTCCCAGAGGTGGATGCACATGCTAAGATGACAAATGAGATCATTAAAGTAAATAGTGTAAATTGAGTTTTGGCAGTGGGTAGGAATCCTTATTGCAATGGAGGGCATTAATATGGGGGGGAAGGAGTGGAAGAATTTGCTGGTGGCAAGTTGACCTGGGGCAGAGAAGCAGTGCAATTTTGTAGCAGTTCCAGCTATCCACTTCATTGCCCTGCAGTGAGCCCATTTAATTTAGCAGGACTTCAGCGTGGCTCGCCTTAGCAATGTATTTAGGATTACAAAGTGTCATTGAACAGCACAGGATGCTGCTTCTTAGGGCTGCAGTGCTCTTTCCTGGTGCAGTCTGTTCTGTGACTTCGTGCTGGGGCACAGCACTGCTTTGCACATAGATTCTCTCTTCTTCAGAGGCTTCTTGCGGATCTCTAAAGTCTGATCTCTGTGTCCTCCTGATGCAATTCCTTGCAAGTTAAGTCAGTGCTGTGAGTGGTTTCCCTCCACCACTGTCCTTCCTGTGGCCATGGGGATGAGCTTCCCCTCTTGAGCAATGCAACCAGTTGTACTTAATTTATGTAAAGGCACCTTCCAAGAACATACTAATTATACAGAGTTTGGTGCATTCTTTATATTAATACACTAGACCTATATTTCCAGTTCTCTGTAGTTGATTTTCTGTGCTCATCCTCACATGAGCATTAGTTTCGCAGCTTGGATCTGTGCAGCACAACTTCTGGCACTGTGCTCACAGCCAGGTTTGTCTGCACTCTCCTGAAGCTCCCAGCATAGGTAAGAGCCAGGAGAGTGGTTATGTATCAACACCCTGCTCAGTGATGGCACGGAGGAGGGAGCAGTGTGTTTTCCACCCTAAGTGTGGATCCTGTTCCTGGAGCATCGTAAGGCAAGGCAGGCACTGAAGGGACAAATCCCACTGTGTTAATCTGAGTAGTAATGATGATGGAAGCTAATAGCATTAACTAATAGAACAGGATGAGATTAATGGAGAAAGCACTGAAACGTACTTTTCCTACTGGGCTTGTAGAGGGAGATGTTCCTTTAAAAACATTTATCTCCTAACTCTCCTAAAGCTGCTTTTTTTTCCTGTATTTTACAACATGCTTTAAAAATAAAAAAGGCAACTGCAGAAACGTCCTTCCTCTGCCCAGGAAGTGCAGATCTCTTTTGAACCATCACGGCATGGTAATACTGATTTGTGTGGAGTGTTGAAAGGAATAAGCACTGAAGCTCTTTGGGATGCTGAGAGTGGCCCTGCAGTTGTGGGAAGGAGGGAAGCTGAAGGTTTAAGGACAGTTTGAGGCATTTGCATTAACAAGCACTGGTGGCTTTGGATTTGGTTATCTCCAAAACGCATTTCACACTAGCATCTCTTATCACTGCAGCATGAAGTAATGCTTCTAGAGTGTTTTGTTGCTTATAATTTGAAGAAATGCTGTAGGAGAGGTGGGGGATGAGCAAGGAAATGCGATGTGAAGGAGCTCAAGTAGCACTTAAAATCAGGAGCCCAGACAATCTGCACCAGGTGGCCGTACGTGGTCTCTAAAAGCAGCTCTCCCATAAATGCTGGGAGGACCACTGTGTGGCCGTGCTGGTGTGTCTGTTTCACGTTCCATTTGCAGCATGGAAAGCTTTGTGATATCCATATCACAGTGTGGGGCAGGCTAACTTGAAGGTCTCTTGCCACAGGGCTCATGGCTATTAAACGTGGCAGCATGGTGCCTGTCCCCTGCCAGCCCATGTTCCTTGCCTTGCAGCAGAGCAGGGCTGCTGTGCAGTGCTGGCCCATGTGCTCTTGGGGGTTGGTGCAGAGCTTAGCAAGCTTAAAAATTCTTTTGCTCTTTCTGCAGACAAAAAGCATCCAGAAAACCAAATGCTTGCAGCAGGTGCAGGGCTGTAGCTTTCTTCCCATTTCCGCAGGGCCAGCCCAGCTGGGCTCTTACAGGACATGAAGAGGATGCTAAGAGCTTGCTTGGAGGTCTCCTTTCTGTAGCTTCAGGATGGACTGGCTCTCTTGGCTTTGAGCTCATTTTGACAAAGCCCAATGAAGCATGAATCACAGTTTCTTGAAGACTGAGAGTTAATTTGCTTAGTTCTTCCTTTTTAATTACTGCAGACTGCAAGTCTGCTCTTCTGTGCTGGGAGTGGCAACCTGAGCTGCAGTAAATGCGCCTTGAAAAAGAGGCCAGGAGGAAAATGCCAGTTTGTGGGTGTCTGGGGAAGGGGCCTGGGGCTGATGGGGATGGGGCTGAGATTGCAGCTCAGCTCAGCACCATCCTAGTGAAGATCCTGGCTGTGAAGGGGTCATTCAGCCTATGCTGCTCATGCCAAGCTTGGGAGCTTTGGGCACCTGATGGAGCTGTGGGTGTCCCTGTTCATTGCAGGGGATGGGACTAGATGGCCTTTAAAAGTCCCTTCCAGCTCAAACCATTCTGTGATGGATTCAATTCAGTGCAAAATCCCAGCTGCACAAGGCACGTGGGATTGTGACACTGGGAAACGGGATCTATTGCATGAGATGTGAAATGCATGCAAGTCTGGAGCAGAACTGTGATGGGTGGCTGCTGTCAGTGGTCAGTGCTCTGCCTGCTGTGATGAGAGGTGGGAAACTGAACAGAGATCAAAGCTCAGCCCCCACTTGTGTCCATCTGAAGTTCTCTGTGCTCTTTGGGTTGAGGAATTCAAATCCATCTTAATGCTGTTACTGGTTTGTGACTTCTAAATGCTGGGAAAATGTTTCTAGACTATTGATAAAATAGCTTGGTTTTTTTTTTTTTTCCCCAAGAAACGTTCAAAACCTTTTATGCTGGAGAGAAACAGTGTTTGAAAGACAAAAGAATGTTTGGCTGTTGTAAATGGAACTCAGAGCAGTTCCCCATGGCCACGCAGAGCAGACCAACAGCAACACATCCCCAACCAACAAATGTTCCTTGAATAACAGATTGATTTGCTTAGGAGTGCTTTCCCCTAAGCAAACTTCCACATCAATAACTAATTATTTGCAGGAATAATTTTTCAAATTTCCCATCACAGCTAAATTCAAGAAAATGGTGAGGTGCTCCAGCCCATCTGTGAACAGCAAGAAGTAAAGCTAATTATTCCCTTAGCTCCAATGCTAATAGGCACATTATTTTTTCCTGCTTGTACTTGATGGAATAGCTGTGCTTAACCCATGGCCCAGCTTATGCTGGGGGGGGTGGGGGGGAGGAAGGGGGTGAAGAAAAATCATTCAACTAAATCGTTCCAGAAGCTGAACTGGTTCATTAACTGGAAGTTGGTAGTGTAGTTTTGAACTTAATCACTGTGTATAAACCAATAGCATCTGTAGTAAGAGTTTGCCCATGATGAATGACATTCATCCACAAAGGTG